TTTATTTCACAGTGAGAAATAAAACAAACTTCATTTAGTAGTTGTGTGTTTATCTGTAGAAAAACTGTCTGTCCATGGGGGCAAACCTTGCATCAGTTCACAACCTGAACGAGTACCATCAGGTTCAGAATCTGATAGCTGCAGCAGGTCACGGGCCCAAACTAGCATGGATTGGAGGCTATGATGCACAGCAGGTATTTCTACTAGGATACTTTAGTTGTGAAATATTTTATAAGATATTAAATGAAACATATCATCTGCTGAACTTTGTCTTGCAGTGGGGCACTTGGTTGTGGAGCGATGGAAGCCCGATGAAATACACAAACTGGTGTCCATGGCAGCCTGATAATCATTTTGGCTCCCAGCACTGCCTACAGATGAACTATTCAAGTAAAGAAAATGTCACGTCTGCTTTTCTGTTGGTATAAGAACTGATGAGTAAAAAGTTTATTTCCTTTGCATATAAACTTTTTAGTTGACCTCCAAATACAGTTGAAAGCAGAAGTTTACATTTGATCAAACTCATTCAGTTCAAAGATAGTTATCCATGATAATGACCAAATGTATGTAAACTTCTGAATTTGAAGAAAATTACAAAAGAAATCTCCAAAATAAATTTTTACCAAGTTTTATGGCATTTAGCAAATAGAAATACTTTTGACAATTAAAAGTACCTTAAAACAAAGACATTTGGTCTGATTTAACTTCAGACATTGTTTTGTATTCTGTGTAATTAAATGTCTGGTTAAAACTATATTTACTACATAAACAGCAAAAACTTATGATAATTTATTGTTGCAAATTAGTTTAGTTAATAATCCTTTTCAGTCATCTTGTTAGGTCACTTCAGGGTTTTCATTATGTGATGTTTGACTGATTTGCTGTGTTGCTCCTAGGTGCAAAGTGCTGGGATGACATGTGGTGTACTCACAGGAACCCTTCTGTCTGCGCCAAAGAGATCTGAAAAAAAGGTTTCCAAAGAGGCCTGATGTGTAAAACAGAACCAGTGGAGGATGAATGCTAGGAGTTTCTGTTTACCTGCCTTTCTGCACCTTCATAAAAAAACAAAAAATATATTTCTGCTTCTTCACTTCATATCATTTCTGTCTTTAATGCAACCTAAGGAATGAAGCGACAAGCAAACAGCAGCTGGATTGTCTCTCTGTAATAAAATCAGACTGAATGAGTTATAATAAAAGATCATCTAAGCAAAACTTTATTCTATTCTTTGGCTTAGCAAGAATAAAACTCTGAGCAATCAAAACAAGACAATGTGTGGTTTATTCTGACTTTGTGTTGTTCTGTTTTCTTAATTATTTTAACACTATCATATGCTAGTTATTACAATATAAATATCACATTATAACAAGTTTTAGTCAAACCTGAGGTTCTTTCCTCATAAAAGCAAAGAAAAGTTACTTTCTATCAGCTGGTGATGTATTTTCGTCTTTACTTTGTGCTGGGACTGCTCTCATTAAAAGGCATGTGTGGAAGAAAGTTTGAAGTTATTTCCTCTGGATTTAATAATAATTAGTAAAAAATGTTCCTAGATATAGATAATGTGTTGTTGGACACAGTAAACAGGGAAACAATAGGCAACAAGTAAATCACCAAAAATTTCATTTAAAGTGAGATTTTATCTCACTGGAACTAATGTTTTAAACAAAAGTTTTAAAGTGGGGAAAGTTTCCCAGTTTGCTACTTTCTGTGCTGCAGTATCAACATTTAAAGTGGAGCTGTTACATGTTGTTTCTTCTAAAATACATCTGAGTTTGTTTGACATGTTGAGTCATTGCATGGAATGCTTTAATTTAATTTCACACTGATCCATGTAAGATGATATTTCCAGCTTTCGTTAACTGATCTGCTTTGGCTCCAACATTCAGGCTCAAGTTCAACACTTCTGTTTACTTTAGTTATCCCTCTGTCCCATTTGCTTGTAATAATAGTTTGTTCTGTGGCATCTGATGTCAGGCAGAGTTGCAGAAGCAGTTGTTGATATGTTCAGATGTGTGGTTTTGAAATGCAACAAAGGATAACACA